TCCACAGGGGACATCTCCTTGATCTGGTAGAAGCCCCGGATCGGGATTATCGGGCTCTTGCCGTACCTGTATCGGCAGAGGACAAATGGCCCGGTTGGCGGCGCGCAGGTGATCTTGAACGAGTCTTCCTTCGCTGCCTTGATGCCGCCGACCACGTGGGCGCAGTTGTGCACACTGATCTCAGGTGGTAGGTTCTCGCTATTGTGGTAAGAAATCGGCACGCATATCTCTGGAATCCCACTGATGTCGGCGCAGCAATACACGGTGCCAGATATGAAACACTCGTCCTCGTACTCCGCCTTTCCGTACTGTGTGCAGTTGACCGTCTCCACAATTGACAACGTCAGCCTGGACTTGCCCTTATACAGATAGGGCTTCCAGGCCGGACTGCGCTGTGCGGTGTCGTCCTCTTTGTTCGGGAAGCCGTGCCGCACCATGCGCAGCAGGTGGTAGTTGGTGTTGACAGGGCTTCCGAATGGAATGGCGCTCCTGATATAGTACTGAAGCTCTGAAATCCCGGCGACGTCGGAAATGTTAAGATTCGCGGGGATGAAATCGCAAATGTCCTCCAGCACGGCGAAGGCCGCCGTGATCTGCGGCAACTCCAGGGCCCGGACCTGCTCGATCCGGTACTTCCTTTCCAGCGCGACCACTGTAACCAAATAGAATCCATTTTTAAAAAGGAAAAGCACTGGCCATATCTTCCCCTTGCAGATGGAGCTGATAGGCCCCATGGGCCAGAGCTTCTCCGCGTGCGCCTCCTGCCCAGCGTTCCAAGAGAACGAACCCTGCTGGAAGTCGTCGTGGAACGCCTCCGGGATCCCTGGCGGGATGTAATGCGTCTCCTCCTCGTGCAGCACCTCAGTGATAAACATGACGTTTATGTCCTCGTCGCAGGGGAGGGCCACGTAATCGTCGCCGAGAAGCCGCTGCATCTTCCTCTCCACCGTCGGGAACCGGCGACTCATGAGCAGGCGCACGTCCGACTCCGCGTGGAATATCCAGAGGCCCCTCAGGGTGCACGCCATGGCGGCCAACGCTGCAGGGAAAGAGAACGAGGACCACGACCAAGACTGAACGAGGAAACGTCGGTGCCGATCTTGGTCGTCGTCCATCTAGATCATCTTCAATTCATGGATCATCCTGGCGAATCGGCGACGGCCGGTATGGACAACCACCAATACCGGCCCCGCGACATCGTTGTCGTGGTCACCGTATGCTTCCCCTCGAAACGCGCACCCGCCGGCGCGGCACGCTACGGAAGTGCGCCACCCGTCACGTCCCCGCTGGCCGCCGCCTCGTCCGCGGTCTCCCGGCGAGGCCCCTGCCGCCGCACACCGCGGGGGGCATCGCGACGGAACAGAAGCGTGCCAGCGCCCGAGCCCGACTGCGCGCGGACAGCGGCACAGATGTGGGACGTGTATCCTCCTCCTCCTTCTCCTCCCACCTCCTCCCTCCTACACTTCCTCCTCCACTTCCTCCGCCCCCTCCTCCTCCACCTCCTCCTCCTCCCACCTCCTTCCTCCTCCACTTCCTCCTCCTCCCACCTCCTCCCTCCTACACTTCCTCCTCCTCCCACCTCTTCCTCCTCCCTACTCCTCCTCCTCCTCCTCCTCCTCCTCCTTCTTCTCCGCCCCCCTTCCCCTCTCCTCGCCCTCCTTCTCCGCCCCCCTTCCCCTCTCCTCGCCCTCCTCGTGTATATACCCACGAGTCGAGGAGGCACGAGAAGGAAGCGCCACCCAAGAGAGGGACGTGCCACACTCGAGGGAGGGGGTGCGGAAGAGGGGGGGGAGCAGGAGGCGAGGGCTGGTGGGCAGGCGGAGGGGCAGGCGGACGAGAGGCAGGACGGAGCAGGAGGAGGAGGAGGAGGAGGAGGAGGAGGAGGAGGAGGAGGAGGAGGAGGAAGAGGAGGAGGAGGAGGAGGAGAGGGAGAAATAATGGGTGCAGGACAGACAGGGAGGCGGGAAGGATTTGCCCACGACGACGACGACCGCGGATAGAGGAGGAGACGGAGGAAGAGGAAGGGCGGGGGAGGGAGGCGGGAGAGGAGGAATCTCCCCAATGACGTCGTGCCCTGGAGAGGAAGTCGGCCGTCTCCAGAAACCTCTGCGACGCCAGGCGCGGGCACCGCACGCGGGGCTCGCTGCGTTGTCCTGGCCATCGCTCGGACGTCCATTCCCTGTTTTTTATGGATTTCGTGCGTGGCTTTTTCGCCAAATGATCAAGGATGCTCCTCGATGGCCCTCGCCGAAGGAAAAATGCACACGTCCGAGCGATGCCAAGTGTCAGTGGAGCCGAGTTGAGCGCCGACGAAGCACCGGCTTCCAAAGCAGCGAGCGACGTAGCGCTTCGTTTGCAAGGACTTTCCCGCGCAAGTGCTGACCTCCTCGTCCTCAGCCGCCCCTCCCTACGCACCCCGCTGCCTGCCACCTCCTCCCCGTCTTCGTTCCGCATTCCTCTCTCCTCCATCCCATTGCCTTCCTCGTCCTCACCTGTTTTCGCACGGTTTCGGCACTCTCGCGGGTGAGTGCTCCCGTGAGCGCCCCAAGACGACATGAGCAAACTTACACGGTTCACAGAGTGGCCCGTGTTGAGGGTTGTTCGCGCAAACTCCAGCTTCGGTTTGACCATCCAGCGCGGGCTCTGAACAGGCTAGTGTGGCTGACTCGGGGGTCTGCGCGGGCTGATCCCGAGCGTCGGTCTGATGGCTGCCGCCCTCCATCTCTGTGTCACTGTACAGTAGGAACTCGACCACAAGAAACCGTCCACAAGAACCCCCACCCTGAGACCCCAGGACGTCCATTGAGTTTCGGTGTGGGAACCGTCGAGACCAAAGACACCCAGGGCACCCTGGAGGCAAGCAGGGTGTCTCTTGTGCACTGCCGGGCCTACGCTCCCCTGCTGAAAACAACTCGCCCAGGGATCTGGTCTGGATTAGGCTGGTGGGCTCCTCCACGCTGCCCCCTGTCGTCTGCCCCTCGTCGCCGCCGGCCTGCAGAGGTCACACCTGCAATCTTTTTTGGACGCCCACAATGGGTACGGAAAGATTGGGTTCAATGCCCAACAACAAATGTTGTCCCAAACCAACAGCGGCCACTTTTGGGCAGGCGGCCTTCTGTCTCGAATGGACACAGGCCGCGGCGGCGCGGACAGCGAGTCCGGTTCAAAATGAAACAGGAACTGCTGCTGAGCATTGTACCCATTCTTTCCGTGCCCATCTCGTTCGTGCAGGGCAGACGCCACACCTGCAATCTCTGCATCGTGCGTTTCCCTCGGGGGCCTCATCCGGCCCACCAGAGGCCAAGCTCATCCCCACCAGGCAGGGCCGAGTTCGACTTCCAGCCGAAGCCCGCAGCAACCTCGGCCTTCGTGAGCCACACTCCTGGGCCGACTCGCAACCATGCACCCCTCGGCAGCGAGCTCCGAGGCCCATGGCGGGAACGCCCTGGCACGGATGGCTCCGTTGAGCCCCTCGGCTGGTGGTTCGGCAGTGCGCTTCAGGCAGCCTCCAATGCAGCTAGGCAGCCAACGCAACAACAAACCAGGGGCGGTCTGGAACTGCAGCGAGTGGCGCCTGCTGAACGTTGAGGGAGACGGACGCGAGAGGTGACTGGCCATCGCTCGGACGTCCATTCCCTGTGTGTTTTGTTGGTTTCGTGCGTAGTTTTTGTTGCCAAATTATCAAGGATGCTCCTCGATGGTCCTCGCCGAAGAAAAAATACACACGTCCGAGCGATGCCAAAGTTGTGCTTGAGAGAGCTGTGCCTCCGAGTCGCGCGAAACTTCCGCAGGTGCCAGCGTGTGGACCACACTGCAGGGTGATGGCGCTGCCGCTGTGCAAGCTGTGCTGCGCACGCCAGATGGCAACAACCTCAGGGCACCAACCGCAGGGCATGCGGCCGTGTGCCAGAGGGCACCAGCCAGATGGCACCAGCCACAGGACACGACACGCGGAAGAAGGACCACGGCCGCGAGAGGACCATGCGTGCGTAGGGCACCGGCCATGGGGTACCAAGCACAGAGCACATACCGTGAGGCACCAACCATGGGCCACCATGGGGCACCAGCGCACGCAGCACCACGGGGCACCCGACAGATGACAGGGCACGTCGGCACAACGGGCCAGCCTTACAGCGCAGGCCGGGGGCCACGAAGTGCACGCACCGCTCGCAGCACCGCTGCAGGCTGTCGAAGCCGATGTCGGCCTCAACCAGTCGTGCATCGGGGATGGACAGACCCCCCTTTAGTAAAACGTGGTTTAGTGAGAACGACCTGAGGCCCAAACCTGGCGGGCGCAAGCCTGGAAAATAGCGGCCACGGCGCCCTCTCGAGAACCGAAAACGGACCATCCACTAATCGACATGTCACTGTTGGGGGTTCTGTCCACCCCCGAGTGCAGTGCTCTCTGAGACCAGACCCGACCTCAAGGGACGCACGGGGCTCGCTCGCGACGGCGCGGCGCGGTCGTCTCCGCCAGGCGGCGCGGGCCGAGTCCGCCGTGGCGCCCTTTAGCACGCCACGGGCACACTGCGAGCGGATGGGCACGGAAGAACCCCGGGGACGCCGAGGGCGAAGAATTGGAGGCCTAGAAATTGGCACCATCACCAACACAGGAAGTTGCCTCCACATGGGGGAGATGATCCTAGATTTCGGTGTTGGTGGCAATAGTTCGGTCACCTTGGAAGCCAGAATATTACCACCGTCACCGAGATCGGGATCCTCTTCCCTCGGTGGAGGCACACCGCCGATCTTGGTGTTGGTGTCAACCTCTAGGCCTGCGAAAGAAGAGCGAAGACGCTCCGGCCCCTGTCACATGGCACACGGAGCGTCGGGCGCGGCACCCTTTAGCGCGCCGCGGTGAAACGACCTAGCTACTGTGCGGCGGCCGCCGCCTGCCGGAAGCATGACGACTATGTCCTCATCCCCTCGGATCCCCACCTCTGCCGCAGATCTGCAAGCCCGCATCAGACACGCCCACCGCGGTCGATTGAGGATGCTGCTCACCGGCCCAGCGCCCGCCTCTCGATGTCCCAGTAGTGCCAGAAGCCGACGCACGGCAGAAGGAACCACAGCGGGAACCACACCACCCAGCTCTGCAGCCGCGAGACCAAGAACGGATGCACGAGCTCCTCCGTAATTCCTTCCCCGCTGGCCCGCAGCATCTCGTAAGAGGCCCAGAACACGATGGCGGAGACGACCAGCGACGAGACGAAGAACGACCTCTTGCAGCAGATGCAGAGCCTCAGGGCCAAACCGCTGCACACAAACTGAGGGGCAACGATAGGGAGGGGGGGGAAACTGGCATAGGAGGGGAAACCTCGTCCTGGAATCGGCGACAGTACGTCGCCACCGGGTCGGGGCCATCGGGCCCCTGTCGTCGATCCCTGGGCCATTGGGGCTCGACGCATCCCCCCTCCTAATGCCTACGTACCCCCCCCTCAAGCCAACCCGTATCGTAAAGGCCCGACGCCTCCCCCCTCTCCATGCCTACGTACCCCCCCCCCCTCAAGCCAACCCGTATCGTAAGGATGCGCGGCAGGGACGCGAGGGCCTTTGGAGGGCCGTGCCAACGTGTCTCGGATGAGGCTGGCCAGCCACGGCCGCCAAGGACGGGCCGAGGGGGCAAGGATGCCTGGGTACTCCAGATCTCGTAATAAAAGGGAGGGGGTCTGGACCCTCCAAGACAAGCCATGTCAGACCCCCCCCCGTGGGAGAACCCTCCAAAACATCGTCCCCAGACCCCCCCAGGCCCTCCAAGATAGCCTGGAAGAGACCCCCCTCCCGAAATGAGACCCCCCTCCCTTTATTACGAAATCTGGAGTACCCCTGGGAAGTTGCTCACCCTTACCATGCGGGTTGACTGTGCACCGCTTTCCAGCATCAAGGACGCCAAAAAAGGCCCACGAGGCCCCAGAGACGGCTCCAAGAGGAGGAGCTCGAACTGACATGTCGAGCCCTGTGTGAGCCCCCGCTCGAGCTGACATTTCGATGCAATGGTACCCTTGAGAAGGATGCCAATCCTTACTAAGCAGGTTGACTGTACCCACCCCCTATCTGAAGTTCAGAATCTGAAGGCCTCCAGATGGGGTTCGAGTAGATGGGGTTGGAGGATCGCGCCGCATCGCCGATGCATCGGCGATGTATCGGCAAAGCATCGGCGATGCATCGGGGACGTCGGCGATGCATCGCCGACGTCGGCGTGGAGAAAATCGGCCTCCACATCAAGCCGCATCGCCGATGCATCGGCGATGCGGCGCGATCCTCCGACCCCATCTACTCCGACCCCACCTAGGAGGCCTAGAACCGAGACCCCCGACATCGTGATTTTTGTCACAACGTCGCCACCTAAAAGTAGACCCCTTCCTTCATCCTGAATAATTTGTTTACCGTCCCGCGGCCCGGGGCCCCCAGAGGCCAGAAACAGCGACAAAACCTCCCGTCGTGATTTTTGTCACAACGCGAAGGGGTCTGGGAACATCGTTGCCACCGATATAGGAGGCCTAGACGATCGTTGCCCCCGTTCTCCCCCGCGCCCCACCCGCTCCCCGGCGCGCGGAGCGCGCAAGGGCGCGCCGGGGGGGAGGAGGAGGAGAAGGAGGAGGAGCAGGAGGAGGAGGAGGAGGAGGAGGATGAGGAGGAGGAGGAGGCGGAAGAGGAGGCGGAGAAGGAGGAGGAGGAGGAGGCGGAAGAGGAGGTGGAGGAGGAGGCGGGGAGGAGGGGAGGCGGAGGAGGAGAAGGACGAGGAGGAGGAGGAGGCGGAGGAGGAGGAGGCGGAGGAGGAGGACCCCGCGCACCACCCGTCCCCGGGCGCGCGGAGCGCCGCTCCAGGGCGATTGCGCACGGGGGCCCGGCGCGACGACCCGGGCGGCCCGCGCGGGCGCTCCCAGGCAGTCGACGACGAGCGAGGAGGAGGAGGAGGAGGAGGAGGAGGAGGAGGAGGAGGAGGAGGAGGAGGAGGAGGAGGAGGAGGAGGAGGAGGAGGAGGAGGAGGAGGAGGAGGAGGAGGAGGAGGAGGAGGAGGAGGAGAGGAGGAGGAGGAGGGAGGAGGAGGAGGAGGAGAGAGGGAGGAGGAGGAGGGAGGCGGAGGAGGAGGAGGAGGAGGAGGAGGCGGAGGAGAGGAGGAGGAGGAGGAGGAGGAGGAGGAGGAGGAGGAGGAGGAGGAGGAGGAGGAGGAGGAGGAGGAGGAGGAGGAGGAGGAGGAGGGCGAGGAGGAGGAGGAGGCTCGAGGTTCGAGGCTGGACCCCCTGCCTGAGCGCAGACGCAGACGAAGACGCCGCCAGAAGGCCCAACCGCCGAACCGAGAAATCCCCGCAATCCTCCACGGAAGGCGCTGATCGGGGGACTTCTGAGGAGGGGCCTCCAGCCAGGTTATGTTGATCCCATCGTACTTATGACTACCTACCAGACCATCCCAACCCAACCCGAAGACTCGCACTTCGAGTTGGGGTGGTACGGGTTCCACATGTGTTTTCTCGACGTTCTCACCCCTCACCCACTGGAAATGGAGGGCAAATTGAGGCATTCGGGTTGGGTTGGGGTGATTTGGTGGGTGGTGTACTTACGGACCGCATCCCAGAAATCATTCCGAGCACCCAGAAAAGTATCGAAACAGCGTCGAGCGCATATCGCCCCGAGGCACGAGAGAACCCTCGAGCTTCGGTATTTTTCTGGTGCGCTCGAAATTGTTCCTGGTGCTCGAAGCTAGAATAGGCTGGAACATCATAATCCGAGGGGGGGGGGGGGAAGCGAGGGGCGCACCGAGGCTCGAGGTTTTCAGGCGCTCCCGTCGTCGGGGGTGGCCAAGAGGGGGGCGTCCAAAAAGGGGGGCGCAAATCATGGTCGGCGGCACGTGCGCGGCCCAGGGGGGGACCCAGGGACGCACTGAAAGAAGAAGAGGCGCCACGAACTCTGGGGAGACCTCATGGCCCCGGCCATGATATCCACCCCCCCAGTCACCACCCCCCTCGTTGCCGCCCCCGATGGCAGCGAGGGGCGCACCGAGGTTCGAGGTCTTCAGGCGCTCCCGTCGGCTCTCGGTGGTCCTCCTCCTGCCCCGGGACGCCTCCCAGCGGCGGCGCCCCGCCGAGAGCGTCCTACAGGTCCTACAGGGGTGCCCGGAGCGTTCCGAGCGGCCGCCGGAGGCTCGAGATTAGGACTTCCCAGAACGGAACTCGGCGGCGCGCCGAGGGGGGAAGTGAGGAGGAGGAGGCCTTCCGACAGGGCGGCGGGGCTTCTCAGAAGCCCCCCGCCCTTCTGAGAAGGCGGCGGCCTTCTCAGTGCTCTGTGTCTCCGGAGAAGGCAGGAGGACTTCTGAAGCTTCTATCATTCTCCCCCTCCTCCTCCTCCTCCTCCTCCTCATCCTCCTCCTCCTCCTCCTCCTCCTCTTCTCCTCCACCACCTCCTCTCCCTCCTCCTCCTCCTCCTCCTCTCGTCCTCCTCTCACCATCATCATCATCATCTCATCATCATCATCATCATCATCATCATCATCATCATCATCATCATCATCATCATCATCATCATCATCATCATCATCATCATCATCATCGTCATCATCATCATCATCGTCATCGTCATCGTCGTCATCATCATCATCATCATCATCATGATCGTCATCATCATCATCAGCAGCATCATGATCATCATCGTCATCATCATCATCATCGTCATCATCATCCTCATCCTCATCCTCATTATCATCGTCATCACCATCACCATCAGCATCACCATCATCATCATCGTCATCATCATCATCATCATCATCGTCATCATCATCATCATCATCATGATCATCATCGTCATCATCATCATCAGCATCGTCATCGTCATCATGATCATCATCGTCGTCGTCATCATCATCATCATCATCATCATCATCATCATCATCATAAGCAGCATCATCATCACCACCACTACCATCATCATAATCCTCATCATCATGATGATAATCATCATCGTCATCATCATCAGCAGCATCAGCATCATCATCATCAGCATCCTCAGCATCAGCATCATCATCATCATCAGTATTAGGCATCAGCATCAGCATTCTCATCCTCATCCTTCTCCTTCTGCTTCTCATCCTCATCGAAACACGCCCCTCCTCACTTCTTACCTTGGCGTGCCGCCAGCATATGTCCAATGAGCTGATGCTCTCCATACGCGTCTCCCCAAAGATGATCTCACCCCCTTCCCCGGGGGCCAGTTTCTCGCCCGACAACGGAGGCCGATATCGATGCCAGACGCCCGGATTGAGCCGAAGACGTGAGGGGCAACGATAGGGGGGACTGGCATAGGGGCTGGTGCATCGACCTGGAGTCGGCGATGCATCGCCGATAGACCGGCGATAGGGCACCGAAAGTGAGTCCGCACCTTCCCGGGCAGGCCAGGGCTCTAGCGGGCCCCTGTCGGCGATCCATGGGCAATCGGGGGTCGATGCATCCCACCATATGCCCATCACCCCCCATCGTTGCCCCAGAACTGGCCATCGCTCGGACGTCCATTCCCTGTGTTTTTTTCCCTGTGTTTTTTTCGGTCTCGTGCGTGGCTTTTTCGCCAAATGATCAAGAATGCTCCTCGATGGCCCTCGCCAAAGGAAAAATGCACACGTCCGAATGATGCCAGGAGAAGACATGAGGACCAGCAGCAGGTAGCGCCGTGTGGATCCGCATCGGTGCCTGCGACGCAAATGCAATGCCCTGTCACGCTCATGCGGATTGAAGAGCGCTCGGTGGTGCAAACGTCCCGACTGGGGCGGACACATCGTCGGAGATCTCGGCTCATGCCCCGGCTTGGGCGCTGCTTCGTGGGGGGAAGTGGGAAGCGGGCGATGCGTGGCCTGGGCCCCAGAGGGCGAACTTGAGGCCTCTGAAATGTACGAAGAGTGTACCTCGTCTCACCCCGCCCCCCCCTATCACCTCCCACTTGAGCAGGGACCGACCGTCCCTGCATTCCTATAGGCCCGCAACGACATGGTCTCAGACCCCAAAACTGTTTAACTATCGAAATCAGTGTTCTCATAACAGGAACCCGATGTGTTCAAACAAGACGGCCTCCGCCTGAAATGTCGTAAGAACATGCCGTGCTAACGAGAGGCTCTTAGAACATGTTCTGGTGGACTTATAGTAGGCAGGCCAGGACGCGTCGACACTGCTCGACTCGTCGCCTCCCATCGCGCAGCGCCCGACTCGTGCTGCTGGCCGGCTCTCCGTAGGGGAACGAAGAGTGACACAACCATAAAACATCTGAGGTCCGCGCAAATATCTCGGATAGGCGCTGGACACCCCTCCCTGGCGCGCGGAGCGCGACAAGGGCGGCGCCGGAGGTGCGGCCGGGGGGGCTCAGCGCGAACCCGAGAAATCCGCGCGGACCTCCGAAACGCTCTGTTTCTGCCACTCTTCGCTCCCCTGCTCCGGAGGCGCCACCAGGGGGCCCGTCGCAGATCCGAGAAAAGATCCGCGTAGACATATGAAAGGTTTTTTTAAATATGAAAAGACATTTGTAGATATATACATCTATATATATAGACATATATGTGTGTGTGGCGTTCTTCTTCCTCCTCCTCCTCCTCCTCCTCCTCCTCCTCCTCCTGGCCTCCCTCCTCCCTCCTGGCCTCCCTCCTCCCTCCTCGCCTCCCTCCCTCTCTCTCTCTCTCTCTCTCTCTATATATATACATATATCTATATATATATATATATATATATAGATGTGTGTGGCGTTTCTCTTCGAGAGGGTGTGGCGTTGCTTCTTCTGCGGGACTCTCCTGCCGTTGGCCGGCCCTCCGGGGGCCTGCCCTCGCGGCAGTAGACGTTGGTGTACATCGCGAAGAGGTACAGCGCGGCCTGCGGGGGCGGCCCGCCAGGGCCGCAGGGCCGCAGGGCGCGGGCTGCGCGGGGGGCGCGACCCCGGGAGGAGGAGGAGGAGGAGGAGGAGGAGGAGGAGGAGGAGGAGGAGGAGGGAGGAGGGAGGAGGAGGGAGGAGGGAGGAGGAGGAGGCGGAGGAGGAGGAGGAGGGAGGACGAGGAGGAGGAGGAGGAGGCGCCCAGGGGGGGGGGGGAGGGGGCGAGGGGGCTCCCAGGCGGGCGGCCGCCCTCGGGTGCGCCCGGAGGGCGGAGGAGGGCGGAGGAGGAGCGCGCGGGAGAGGGGCCGAGGACGGCGAGGGCGGCAAGGGGGGGGGGGGAGGACGAGGAGTGCGAGGGAGGGGGGGGGGCGTCGCTGGGACCGAGAGCGAGGGGCGAGGAGCGCCATCTGGGGCTCCCCGGCGGTTGTGCTCTCTTCCGATGGGGCTGGTGCTGAAAGCGTCGGTGCGCGCGCACGGCCAGCGAGAGCAAGGAGGCCTGTGGCGGTAGGGCAGGCAGGCGGAGCTCGCGCAGCCAGGTTCTGCTGGAGCTGACGCTCCTCCTGCACGTGGGTTGCATCACGAGAAGGGGCTCTCGCCGCTCGCCCCGCTGGATGGCGGAACTTGCAGGACCAGCAGGGTGACAGGGGGCCAGAGTGTAACATCTGCGCAGACGGATTGCCTCTATGTCCGTAGGTAAGACGTTCACGGATCAAAATGGAACAGAGAGATAAAGAGAGAGAGAGAGAGAGAAAAAAAAAGAGAGAGAGAGAGAGAGAGAGACAGACAACAAACATATTCACACTCACACAAGCACACACACACAGGGAACCTTTCTCAAAACCCGGGCACTGAGGAGGGGGAGGATGAAGAGAGGAAATGAGGCCTTCTAATCCCACCAGCCCTATCGGATAAGGTGGTCTAACGAGTTCTTCCTTTGCTCTTCCAGAAACCCTCTTCTCTTCGGGAAAAGGTACCCTCCCCACCCCCTCCCTGAGGTTCGATGGGGGGTTCTGCGGTGTTTGGGTGAGGTCCTTTTCGCCCAAGATGGTTTGAAAAAGAGCCTCCTATGCTCCAAGATGGCCGTCAATATGGTTCAAGATAGCCGCCGATGGTTCGAGATCATTTTCGACATACCTCCGAGGGCCACAAGACGAATCCAAGTGCTCTCGGAGCCCCCTCAGGACCCCCTCAAGGCAGGCTATCCCCTTTCTCCCAGAGATCTCTCTGTTCATCCTGGTCGCCCGCTTTGTTTCACTATAACTATCTCTTCGTCTCGTTTCCTGTCAGCTCGCATGGGCATTTTCTGAATGGGCTTGTGAAGCGCCGAAAGGAAACGAGGCGTTCCGGGCGAAGCTATCGAGATGCCTCCTTCGCGTGGGCGCGTGATGACTGCGATTCCCCTCCATCTGGCGGGTTCTGCAACCCCTGAACCTAAAAAACGGTTGCCACCTCGAGGGGGCGCATCCTTTCCTTCCGCCGACTTCCATCCTCCTGCCGGTGGAGGCAGCCTCGTTTTGCTTCAGCCGGCTTCCGCGCACTCCGACGAGGAGGCCCGCCATCGGTCCTCATCATGTCCAGAGGTTCGTCGGCAATCCCCTTGTCTCCCTACCCCCGTTCCTCCCCCGTGGCAGTACCATTCCCCCCCCATCTCCCCCCGACGAGCTGAGCTCAGCCCCTCCCTCTGCCGTCCCCCCCCCCCAATCCTCCTCGCTGGCCTCCAGCCCCCCTTCCACATGCTCTTCCCACCCCTCGCCATCGGCCTCACCAGCCCGTCAATGACCCTCCCCACAGACCCTCTCCCCCTGGCCCCCTCCCACCCCCTAATTATCCCCTCCCCCGCTTCGCAACACGGGCCCTCACAGTCTACTCCACGCTCCAACGCCCCCATCCATCTCCCCCGCGCATCCCGCGTCTACCAACCTGTCTCCCCTTTATCGATGGAAACTTCGGAGAGGGATGAGGCAAACGGGGGTGGGCGCACCAACTTGCACTTGTCTCCCTCGCAGAGGGTTCGGAAACTTGCTTCAACGGGGAGCGGTCTCGACATCCGAAGTCCCGAGAAAGATCTGTCCAGAGCGCGCAAGCCCAGTTTGAGGTAGGGCTCCTCGAGTCGGATCGATCCGCGACAGGTCCTGTTTACCAGCCTGGAACATATCCTTAGCCCTGTGCTGGGCACCTCCTCATCACGATGCCAATCTTAGGGATTCCCTTCTTTTTTGAGGGCGGATCCCTAAGATTGTCATCGCCTTTTGGAGTGTAAATCTTAGGGATAGGGATACGTTCGAGGCTGGTAACCTGTGGCCCAAAAAGGGGGCACGAAACGCCCTGCCCAGACTTTCCCGTGACTCGGATGTGTGGCGATATAAACATAAAGCTTTCGACAGACCGCGCGGACTCCTTGGATCTGCGCTGGACCTCCCTTCCCCGGCGTGCGAAGCGCGCCTCCGGCGCCGCCCCAGCGCAGATCCAGGAAATCCGCGCGGAGCGTCGAGGGTTCGTGTTTATGCAGGCTTTCCCTCTTCGGTGTGCGGCGGTCGAGCATCCAAGAAGCACGCGCAGAGCGTCAAGAGTTTAGGTTCATGCAGGTGCTCCATTCTTCGATGTGGGGCAATCGACGGTCCGAGAAACACGCGCGGAGCGTGGACAGTTTGGGTTCATGCAGGTGCTCCCTTCTTCGATGTGGGGCAATCGACGATCCAAGAAACACGCGCAGAGCGTCGAGAGTTTAGGTTGATGCAGGTGCTCTATTCTTCGATGTATTGGAAATGGACGATCCGAGAAAGAGAAGGAGGTCGAGAGGAGCTGGCTCTGGGCACTGACCCCCGCATACTCATGCGTGCTCCCCCGGCTGGGGCGAGCGGAGCCGCTTCTCGGGTCGGGCGAAAAGGGGGGGATAGCAAAAGGGGGGGTTGAGAATCAGCCCCTGTAGCTGATTTTCCCGGCGCCTCCTGGCGCCGGAGGCGGCCATGTATCGAGGAATGGGCCCCTCGGTGAGGCCGAAACCAGCTGCATGCAGCAAATTTCGTAACCCCCCCTTTCCCAATCCCCCCCTTTCGCCCAGCCCGATCCTCCTCCTCCTCCTCCTCCTCCTCCTCCTCCTCCTCCTCCTCCTCTTCTCCCTCCCTCCTCCTCCCGCCGCCGCTCCCAATCCCCCCCTTGGCGCTTCTCGAGCGGGGCTCGCCCCGAGGCCCGCCAGGGCTCCGCCGTGGCAGATGACGCTCTCGAGGACGCGGGGGCGCCTCTCCCTCCTTCTCGTCAGCCTCCCTTCTTCGTCTCTCCTCCTCAGCCACTCCTCTCCCTCTCTCCTCCTCTCCCTCTCTCCTCCTCTCCCTCTCTCCTGCTCCTCTCCTCCTCCTCCTCCCCTCCTCCTCCTCCTCCTCCTCCTCCTCCTCCCTCCTCCTTCCTCCTCCCCCTCCCTCCTCTCCTCCTCCTCCTCCTCCTCCTCCTCCTCCTCATCCTCCTCCTCCTCCCCTCCTCCTTTTCTCTCCTCCTCCTCCTCCTCCTCCGCCTCCTCCTCCTCCTCCTCCTCCTCCTCCTCCACCTCCTCCCCCTCCTCCTGATCCTCCTCCTCCTCCAAACTGTTCTCGAGCACTGCGGCTTGGGACGGGCAGACGGGAGGGCGTCCGGCGGGGTCGGTACCTGGGAGGACGAAGAGATGGAGGAGGGGTGAAGGGGAAGGGAGGGAGCCTCCTCCTCCTCCTCCGAGTGGCATGGAGGGAAAGGGTGAAGGAAGGGGGGAGCGCAGGGGAGTGCAGGGGAGGGGGGGAGGGGGTGGGGTGGACTGGGAGTGAGGAGATGGGGAGGGAGGGAGGGAGGGGCGGGAGGGCCAGGATGGAGATGAGGGGGGACGAAGATGACGAGCAGAAAGCATGAGGGGTGGGGAAGAGAGAGGAACGAGGAGTGATGAGAGAGGGCGAAATCAAGAAGAGGACAAGGGGGACCGGAGAAGACCGGGACGATCAAGCGAAGGATGACAGAGGCGGGAGGAGGATGTTGTAAGACATGGAATTACTCATGCGATGCAATTTGCCTGTGCGTTCGTTCCACACCTAGGGGGTGGAGGGAGGGGGGAGAGCTTCTTAGAAGGAGGCTGTTTCTTACAAGGCGCCGGCCTTACATCTATAGAGAAGGCCCGCGCCTTCTAAGAAGCAGGGGTGCTTCTAAGAAACCCTCCCCCTATCCCCACCCCCCTCTGCGCGTGGCTGAGACCTCTCCAAAAAAGACTCAGAACGCCCGGTGGCCTCTACGAGCATCGCTGGGGTGGTGATGAACAGCATGATGAGGACGTGGCCGGTGAGCCATCCACACTGCGGTGTGGGGGAGAAACGGCAGCAATTGGTGAACGCGGTGAGGTAGCAACCGCCAATCGCGAAATCCAAGAAATGCAGACACCCCGCAGAAATTGAGTCCTGAAGCATGGGACAGGGCAAAACATACGCTGGGAGAAAGACAAAGAAAATGAAAGAGGAAAGAGAGAGCTACCGGCAAGCCCCCGGATATGATGACAGGAGTAAGGGGAGGAAGGTAGATCGGGGGTAGGCGAGAGGAGGGGTGGGAAGGGATGGGAAACGGGACGGGCAGAGACACCCAACTCGCCCAAGTGGCTCAATGCCGCCAGGATGGCCCAAGAAGCGCCCGACGCGGCGCCAAGACCAGGAGGGCTCCAGAACGTACCGGGATGGCTCCAGTGCTTCCGACGAATGCCCGCATCGCAGCACATGAGGCATCCAGTGTAGCCCCAGACCAGACGCTCAACGATGGCCCCAACATGACCCCGAGACGACCAAGCCCATCGAAAAGCCTAGGGTGTCTGCAGGCTTCCTGCTATTTTGGCAGCTCGAGATGGATACATGAGGGCATCGGAGAGGCTGCCCAAGAGCCCAACCTGCCAGGAAACGGCCCAGGTCGGCGCCAAGACGGCTTCTGAGCGCATCCCGAAGGCACCACAGGAGCCCAGGAGTGCGGCAAGATGGCCCTGAGGGACCCCCACGGCGGCATAAGAGGTATTTCCCCATATCCTAAGATGGGGTTCTTGTTATTACTTGG